GAGGGGTGTTTGTAATCGTGGTGAGGAGAGCGAGCGACCAAGGCTTGTGATGGCTGGGGGTGAGCAGGTCAGGTCAAGCTTGGTGGGGTTGTTGGCCATGACCCGATGCCCGAGCTGCGGGCGGGCTACAGTACAGTAAGAAAGTGCAACTGACAAGCGGCGATAAGAAGCTGCCAATCTATCAAAGGCCTCTCTCTTCAATACCACCACTACAACAAACTATCAACACCATCTTTTCGGTCAACACCCGCTCAAGCTAGAGTCCTAGTACGTGGGATGAGACTTTGCCGAGCCTCGAGCATCCGGCAGAGAACCGTACAACATCAGTAGTGCTGATTGCCTTTGCGGTGTGCTCCCGCGATGGCATGGGAGGTCAGTTCATGTCCAGTGGCAGTCAGCGCCGATATGATATTCGCGATACATCTCCGAAGGTAGTTGAGGAAGGGTTTCGACTATTTTGTGTTCGAGAGGCTCTTCCTCACTTATCCGGCGTCATATGGATTGCCCTGGTTTTGGCATTCCTGAGCCGCTGCCACGACATACGCACATTGGCTACCACGATCGACCTGCATTCGGAGATCACACCCATGCTCTGGCGATCGCTGCTAACATGGCAGTAAGAACTGCCTTTGTGGCTTCTCATATGCATTTCTACTGTATTTGTCTTGTCGATGATCGTTGCCTGTGGTGTAGTTCTCTTCTCGCAACCTCATTTCTAATTACAGCAAGGCTTTTAAAGAACACAAACACCAAGTGCCCTTGCATGATTCAAGATCTTATGTCAATCATCCGCAGTTATCCACCAGAACCATCTTGTTCAACGGCGAGCAACAGCTGCTGTGTAGCCTCGAGCAATGAAAATGTCCGCGGATCAAGTCTGGCGTAGACGAGGGGAACGGCAACACAGAACACCGCATCGAAAAAGTCTCTTGAATCCCTTCCTGAAAAGCACCTTATGCTAGCAAACATCAAGAGCCACCGTGCAGAACGGTCGAGCTTCAAGCATCCGAGTGGCAGCCGTCTTCGTGCTACATTGGCATACTTTCTGCTCTGCGCAATTCATTGAATCTCCCCGGCACTTTACAGGCGATCCAGACCATGGAATGCTTTGAAATCATTTTCGCTATTTCTTCCCTTTGCTTAAACAACTGGGCGATATGGAGTCACGTTTCTGAGTCTGGGTTGTTTTCAGGATTGCGTGATTGACAACTTCCTTGAAAAATGTTGTGGCGTTCAACACAGCCTCAAAGTCCCTCGCATTGTTGATTAAAAGTACCCAAAGCTGGCATCGCTCGAGCTCATATGACCCAATCGCAATGGAACAGTTGTAAGGCTGTTATCTCAGCTGCGAAAAGGCGTCGCACATGAACGTTTGGAGTTGTCAACTGCAGCCAACCTCACAGCCTCTGCGCTTCCCCGGATGAGGTGGTCAGGAAGCCTGACAGAGATCTGCGAGTATTATAATGAGCAGCAAGGAACATGTTCGTGGCAAGATTATCGTTTTTGTGATATTGTAGTGGAATTACAACAATGCAGCTTATCACATTCGCTCTCTTCTTCGCCCCTGCCCTCGCTCTTGGGGGCATTGACCAGCCAGAAGGAAATTACACTGATCTGAGTGATATCTTTCCTCCCATGGTCAACTTCAGTTCTACACATTCGCCTTCACATCATCCACTTCTTGGAGGGATGAACCTGGCTTATTGCTGCTTCTCTGCCTTCAACGCCGGTCTCCGTCTTGACAATGGAAGCCTCATCATATCAGACCCAAAATTCTTCTCGCCAGGAACCACTGCCACGGATATCTTGAATGCGGACCAGTTCCCATGCACTGCCGTTTACAACGGTGATCATTCCGGATCTCCAGTTGTTCGGTCATCATTCAGATGGTGTAATGAACAATGTCCCGGTTGGCAAATCTCCAAATACAAGAAAATTCAACAATGGATTGGACCAATGGTTGCATTCATCTTCCCGTGTCTGGTATTTTGTCTAAGCATTCCCAGACGGAGAAAGCTTGAAGTAAGCGACAAGCTATTCATGCCAAGGCTGGACAACACCTGGAGTTTCTTCATGACCCCGCTACGGTTTCTTGTTGCTGCTACCATCGTATTGACTGACACAATCATTTGGCTCTGTCTCTGTTTTGCTTTTGCAGGGCCGATGATCCTGAGTGGAGTATTTGAGGCATTCCTGGATAGTCGCATTCTGGACTTCGTACATCAAGGCCTTGATCGTGGAAAGTTGGACAAGAATTTGGCGACGAGGCTTCTATATATCATTCTGGTTGGGAATTTGGACTTCAAATGGATTAGCGGTAAGCTTGAATCAAATGCGCTTGAAAGCCGTGCTGATACCGTACAGAAGGAAGCGACGTCGAGACAGAAGAGGATCCTTGGAATGACCTCGAGAGATTACTTCAGGAGCCACATCCATCGACGAGACTGCCATCCATGCTCGATACGCAGACAACGTATGTGGCGCCTGCTCACACATACTATGTCAACACTAACCTCTCGTTAGCTTTGGATCAGCTGTAGGAGTTCCAATAGTGTTCTTCGCAGGCGGTTTCCTTTACACTCTGTTCGATATTCTCACGAACCTTGGCAATAATGACATCGCCCACGCACTCGCGTTTGGGATGTGGTAGGTTCTATCACCCCCAAATAAGAGATGTTGCTGACGATTCAAGGTGGATGACGATTCCACATGTCGCGATAATATCGTCCCTTCTCCTAGCCGGTAACAATCCATCAACATTTCAATCTGCTGTCTCAACACCTACGATCAAGCACCCTCCAACCTTCCACCTCTTCGCACTCTCCTTTCGTTCCCGTTACAAAACACAGTGGATGTGGTTCCGCGGCCGCTCCAAATCTCTCTGGCTGCAACGCCTCCTCTCCATGCCCACTTCGAAGTCCCTTTCCGAAAATCAACTCTCCGATCTCCGTGCCCATACAAATCTCACATTGCCGACTTGGCTCAAAATTCTTCTCCTCGCCACACTCCCCCTCTTCATCCCTTTCCTCCTCGCCTTCTTAACCTCCTATTATACCCCTCAAAAAGGCCTCTCCTGCCGCTCGCTAACCTTCCTCCTCTACTTCATAACACAAACCCTCCAAATCTCCCTCTGGATCTGGGTCCTCTCTGCCTGCACAATCTGCCCCTCCGGAAAACTCCACTCTCCAACCCGCCACACAAAACCCTCGCGCTGGAACTTCATCCGCTGCATCGCATTCTGGTCTCTCGCCTCAATTTTCGGCATCGCGAGCATTTTCACGGCTATCGGAGGCACAATCATGCAGTTGGTTGGCGTGTACAGGAATTGTCTCTGTGCCTTGCCGGTGTGGTATTGGAGGGGACGGTCCGAGGATGGGAGCGAGGCATATGTCAATCTTAGTACGGATTCGGCGGCTGTGATTAGTGCGGCGCATACGTGGTGGGTGAGGACGGGGGCCGTGGCTGTTGGCTTCTTGTGTTTGAGCACGTATTGGGGATGGTGGTATCAGAGGCGTTTAAGGGGAATGTTTAGAGAGGTTGCGGAGATTATTGAGGGTGTTAGTGGTTAAAGAAAGTAGGGAATGGCGATTAGATGCTAGTATTGGGGGAGTCAGGTGTTATTCAGATTATATGTTTGGCGAGAAACCGTTCACAGTCAGCCAGTAGATTTGAGATTTAGGAAAAATGACCTCAATCATCCCATTCCTGTCAGAACAGAGCCGTGATTCCTACCTCAGCCGGTCTAGGTAAAAATATCTGATAAAAACGAATCCATTCCTCAACTCGCAGACCTAAGAACCTTTCCGCATTTTATTGCAACAAAACCTACCACTTCATTTCCCAAGATCACGAGAAAGCACCAACCCATCAAATCACGAGACGTCCGAATCTTTCCTCCCAAAATGAGAATCTCTGCAGCAGGACTCGTCTTTCCGATCCTGCTCCTCTACGTCGTGATATCAGCAGCACCATACCGTCCCCGCAGTCAGCATATTCACAAGGAAGCCCATCCTATCATACAAGACCACAGGCACGATCTAGGGAATGATACAGCCAGTATAGTTATTCTACCTGTTGGACCTGAAACCTATCAGCAGAAAGCAGATAACGACAGGGATATTGGAGAGGTAGAGGTCAGAACTCCGCAGAACTTAACGCCTCATGTTATTGTTGTGCAGAGGATGGTCGACCGAGTCAAATCTCGCATCGCAGACAAAATCAGTGACGGAAATGACGACAAAAATGGAAAGAAACAGAAACTAGGCGACAAGCTTGATGTGGACAACCAAGGAGCAGAGAGCCAGCTCGCGAGAGACCAAGACAGATCAAATCACCATCTAGCTGAACAAGAAACACACGCCGACTATAGTCAAGACGAGATGAGAGGAGAAACTGGAATCGTTCAACAGATGAAAGATAATAGCACCGCGGAAGATCCGATGGAGCGACGCCGCGAGGAAGGGACGAGGGGAGAGAATGAAAGAGGGCAGCAAACCGAGAGGAGACATACTAGTGGACCGGAACCGCATGATGAGGGGACGGAAGGGATGGCGATATTGATGGGGTGGACGGCGTTGTTGGGGGTGGTGGGGATACTTGCTATTGCTCCCGCTGGTTAGGATCTGGGGGAGAGCTTGGGGGTGATGGATATAGATGTGAGAAGGGCTGCGACTAAGAGAGCAGATTAGAGGAGGTCAGATGGAAGGAGACGGTATGAGATGAATTAAAGTGGGAGAGAGCTAGGCTTAAGGAAGTGGAATGTAACAAAAGCGATATTCTCAGTCTCACCATCTGTTTACCTATCTTCGCTTAATGTACCCCGCTCACTCTTCGCTCGCTACACACTTCGATGTATTGACCCTTGCAAAATAAAAAAGATTTCCACCTAAAATAATAATTTTCAACAAGAAAAACTAAAGGGGGAAACGAAGATTACGAAGCCGCAGGAAAAGTCTAAAGAAAAAAAAAGAAAAAAAAAGAAAAAAAAGACATGCTACGATTGGAGATACCGCGGATCGAACACGGGATTTCATCAAGGCTTTTTCTACACACTGCTGATTAGCAGATAGAATGCAAATGATGCACGATACCACTTCGTCATATCCCCTGATTTGCACATGTTGGAGTAGAAAAGGCCTTATTTGATTAGATACAAAGGTTAGTGAAATTGAATAAAAAATTGGACAAGGGAAGATTGGTGAATGTAGTGGAGTGGAGATTGTGGAGAGGCTAGGTAACAGGCGAACCTGGCAGCTTGGGATGGCAGATGCGACGTCCATCTTGTGAATACGCCAAGATCACGAATTTAATTATTGTAGGTTTACTGTTGGTGTTCTCTACTATACGATAATTAAACGGTACTTGGTCTTTAGTGCTGGGTAGATTTTCGAGGGGCAGCTAGTTCTTTCTTTCTGAATGTTGATTCAGGCTACTTGTGCTGGTTACTAAAAGAAAATGTACAAACTGTGCAACTGTGAATCACAGATGCAAAGAACCATGTAATACTTGTCTTGGACTTTCAGTTGGCCTTTGTGTCACAGAAAACGATTTGTGACAAAGACATTGTTGTGCCCTCCATTCACCGACGGCAAGCTTTGTTGTGCCGTAAAGAGCCTACCACGTCCCAACATAACATATTTTTTCTGAATAAATAATTCAGTGAATGATTCAGATCTAAAGTAAAACAGTGATTGCTATTCTCTGTTCAAAGACAGTGGCGAGGCGGAGCTAAGATCTATAAAAAGACAACAACTTCCCCTCACGTTCCAAAACATTTCCTCGCGATCTAAGTTAAGTTGCTCAAGTAGCTACTTCAACAAGACCATCCCATCCACCGCGAAATCGTGCAAAAAGTTTTCAAGGCACAGGAACTTTGATCGAAGTTCACGCTACACAGACCATTGTTGATTACCTTTACAACCATGAAGTACAATACTTGCCTTTCCCTTTGCCTTCTGGCACTGGCAACACTATCAACTTCAGCCGTTCCCACAGCTACAGTCATTTCTGAGCAAATTTATCCCCAAATCTCTTCCTCATCCCTCCATCAAGCCAGCGACGTCACGCCCCCGGTTCCTCTCTCCCTGGACGAGACCCCATCCAAACACAACCTCACGCAACACAAAGGAGGTGGAGGGCATGGAGGCGGAGGTCACGGCGGAGGTCATGGAGGTGGAGGAAAAGGAGGCAGCAGTGGAAAGGGAGGTGGTACCACAAGTAGCAACGGTGCAGGTGCTCAGGGAGGTGCTGTTGGAGGCGCGGCTGGTGGAAAGGGTGGTCAATTCTCTGGATCTACCCGAGTGAATGGAAGTCCGGATGTTCATTTGCTATGCGTGATGCTGCTAAGCGGCGTGGTGCTGAGTCCGTTCATGGGAGTCTGAGCGTGGCTGACTGGATATGGAGCAACATTCATCTCTGCTATCTTTGCCCCATCGCTTCTAGATAGTTGAAGTTTTCGACTTTCAACACTTATATGAAATTACACTTGAAAGTGCACGCGAACGTCTATCATTGAATCAGTGATGTATAGCTGGATTAGAACATCTGTTCTTGAATGCCCAAGACTTATCGACCTGTAGTGAACATACAAGCTTTGATATATTGGCTATCGTATTCAAGAGTTGTCTGTAGAAGAGAGAGTCCTCAGATTGATGAGGCAGCGTAGAGATGCCAACAATAACTTTCGCGGAAGTGCAATAACGTGAAAGACATCATCTGGAGCGTATTCTGCCAGAAAATCACCGACAGAACGTCCTGATTGCAGATAGTGTGTACGACGTTCAGGCACATATTCATGAGGAAGCTGTTGTACGACTCCAGTCTGCAAGATACCAGAAATTTTGAGAAATCCACTCTTCACTCTACCGAATGGATCCCATCCTGCCGAACCACTTCAGAGTCAATTAGTTCCAAGGCACCATAGAATCGCTTCTTATTCGCCGAGTTGACAAATTGTACTGGGAGTGTTGCCGCGGCTCATGACCAAGATATAGCAATATAATCGGAAGATGAGATTGTTCAGCGCATTGTGTGTATAGCTTAAGTAAGAGATTTCCTTGCGAATCTCTTGCTTCCTTAAAAAATCACATTACCCAAGCCGCATTCGACTTCGATTATAAACTTGTACTGTTACAAACTATCTCTTCAAAACATGTTCGAACTGCAATAACAAGTTCGCAAATGTCAACGAAGCAATCAAAAAGACAAAAAAAGAAGACATTACACACACAGTCTTTTCAGTTGGAATCAATCCTTCTTTGTCACTCTCACCGCCCATCAAACCGCGTCAGACCGAACATGCACCCTCTGCTCAGACTTATTCTTCGACGCATCATTTGAAGACCCCTGACTATCGTCAACAGTATTGAGCCTGATAGTTGCAAACCGAAACGGCGTCGCACCAAGTCGCCCAAGAACCCTCGCCATAAGCGGTTTAACGAATGGCGCACACGAGGCAGCAATCAAGCCGATCTCCTCGACTCGATACCACCAAAACAGCGGCATCCAATCCCGGAGCGTAGCACTGTTACGCGGGTTCCAGAAGTTGATGTAGTACACTTTGAAAATTCCCGCGACTGCGGCGAGTAGCCCGAGAGCCATCAGTGCGCTGACGAGAGCTCGCTCGATGGCGGGTCGGTGGAGTGTCCAGATGAAGAACATGGGCATGATGGCGAAGACGAGATCGCTTGTAACGCCCACAACTTGCGACATGTTAGTCTTTACTGTGGCAGAAAGTGCTAATGGGGCGAATGCGAACCTGAATATATGTAGCCGAAACTTTGTGATTTCCGAGGTGGCCAGCAGACAGCATCGGGCACTAGGTCCCAAAAAGCACGTATCGGACGGCACTGGAGGAGCATGAAGATGTTGGCTCCGATTGGCATGGCGATCTGGATGGCAATCGCGATCCAGACAATCACTTTCCATGCCTTTGATATCTCGAAGCGGAGAAGCATGGTCCCGATCGATATCCTGGCTAGAGAGGAGGCCCAGAACGCAAAAAGGCCCAGTGTGAAAAAATATTTGTTTATCAGCACCAAGGTCGCTGGGGAAATGGTGGACATAGGGTATCCATATCCGAGGTCTATGGCTTTGAATAGGCAGACGAGGACTAACACTTCGCAAAACTGGGGAGGATGTTAGCGTAGCATCCACGAGCACAGGTCCTCGGCAACGATTGCTCGAAGGTGGTCTGGGTGCTTACAAGAGCTGCAGTAATTATGTAGTCCATAATGGACAGCTGGAAAGTAGGGCGGACTCGGTTCCACATGCGGATGCCGTACGTGAACAGGGCTGTCGCGAACAAGAACGAAATGCCAATAGTCCCGGGGATAGCATTAGTCCCCACCTGTGAGACCTGCTGAGTCGTCGACATATTCCTCAAGCAGCTCTGACTAAATTTCTTAGAAGAACATTCGAAAAGTTCGTGAATGGTGTGAATATGAGGAGGGCCTACCGAACCTCAACATGTTAGAGCGAGAACCCGTCTTACATACGTCCCAAGAACGCTCCGGATATTGAGCTAGTTCCCCGCTCCAGGGATCCTGCTGTCCATCACCAAATGCAGCAGAAGGCGCGGAGATGTGCCGCCGGGGAAGACAGAGGTGCGTTGCGACAGCACGGAAAGGGTCTTGTGGCTTGAGTGCCACGTTTGCCGCAGGCCAATCGTCTCCACAAGACGAGATTTGTTTTTTTGAAGGCGGTTGATGCAGAACACAAGCAAGGACGGTCGCGTGTTACTACCGAGATAGACATCGGTTTCAAGAGAATGATTTCGCAAGAGCATCGGCTGGTATGCCTCCTGATGGCCAGTTGACATTTTTTTTTTGGTTTTTTGGTGCGGGCTCCTCAGCTCCGTTCGGTGATCATAAAGGCCCCCCCTTTTTTTTCCCCGGAAAAGGATAATGCCTCCCATCGCCGATCCGAATGCACGACCCTCCCTCTTCCCGTAGATCGCACCTTATCGGCTCCAAGCCGATGGTCAGCAGCAGAGGACATCTCCACAACCCGACTTTTGGTGGCTGAGCAGGGGATCGCTCAAGCCTGCTACGACGTCTACTGCCACCGAGAAAGGCAATCTCGGGTCAGCCGTGCACCGATGCGAAACTCAGCTGTAGGAAAAGAAAAGAGAAAGTGGCTTTTTTGAGGCATTTTGAGAGTACGAGTAAATCCTATAGAAACTGCGATTTTTGAATAAATCGACTGAAACATCTGGTGTTTAAGTTATTTGGAGAACAGGATTGAGAGATCCCTAAGCAAAGCGGATTCGGCTACACTATTTGCTGATCTCGCAGCCGAACTAGGGTCCAAGTCAGACCAGATTATCGACTTGGTATGACGGCAGAGCCATACTGTCGAGTTAGTGTTGGGTAGCAACTAAAGGCAGACTGCAACTTGAGGCAGATTAAGGCAGCGAGCTTTTGTCAGCCCAGGCCTCCCTCTCCAATATTATCTACGCATTAATTTAAGCAGGTAAGAAACACAAGATTCAAAACGCTTTTGAAAAAGCATTGAGATGCTTATATTAACGTTTGTTACTACTATTAATTCATCTTATCTCCTACTCTCGAGTATTCAGTGCGTCGAACAAATATGTCGGTATATCACTGGAAAACTCCACAAAGCATAGAAATTTCAATCACATTTGTTTTGTGAGGTGTTCCGCAACCTGGTAGCTTTGCCTCGTGTGCTTGAGCCTACAATTTTCATTTGACGAGTAAATAGAGAGATTTCTCAAAACAGAAGGCGTGCCTTTTTCCCTTCCCCTCTTTTGTTTTGTTTATCTGTAAAGTCTCTCCTAACGTTCCGAGACCAATGTGAGGTACTTTTGACTTTGAGAAATATGCCCTCTACGCACACCTGAACACGTACTTAATTTTGGGCACAGCTAAATCGTGATACGTGAATTGCTAAATCGATATACGTTAATTAAGTAAGTCGGAAATGAAGGGTACATTTATTATTATTAAAATTTGTATAAATAATTATATATAATATATAAAATAATATTTATATTAATTTAACAGTTGACGTTTTCTTCTTTCTCCAGGACCCTCATCCATTTAAGAACAAACGATTTTATTTACTATCTACGTTATGTTTAGAGCG